AACAATGTGGTACCATCTCACACCTGTCAGAATGGCCAACATAAACAAATCAACAAATGACAAGTGTTGGCAAGGTTGTGGAGAAAAAGGAACCCTCGTGCACTGCTGGTGGGAATGCAGACTGGTGCAACCACTGTGGAGAACAGTGTGGAGTTTCCTCAAAAAACTGAAAATGGAACTCCCATTGACCTATTAATCTCACTCCTAGGAATATATCCCAAGAAACTAGAAACACCAATCAGAAAGTATATATGCACCCATATGTTCATAGCAACACAATTTACAATAGCTAGAATTTGGAAACAGCCTACGTGCCCATCAGCAGATGATTGGATCAAAAAACAATGGTACATCTACACAATGGAATACTATGCTGCCATAAAAAAGAAGAAATTCTCATCATTTGCAGCAACCTGGATGTAATTGGAGAACATCATGCTGAGTGAAATAAGCCAGTCAATGAAAGAGAAACACCACAAGACCTCACTCATTTGTGGATAATAAAGAACATTATAAACTGATGAACCAAAAGATAGATGTAGAGATAGTAAAGCAACAAGTAGACTGTCAAATTACAGCAGGTAGGATAGGGAGATCTGGGGGAGATAATAGATCAACCGAAGGACTTGTATACATGCATATAAGTATTACAACCAATGGACACAAAACTCTTGAGAGGGAGGGTATGTATGGGATGGGGTCAATGTTAAATTATGTACACAGATAATAAATGAATAAAAAAAATGGGGAAAATTTTTTCAAACAACAGTTTTTATATAAAATGGAAGCTTCATTATGACAGGTACCTGCTAGTGTCTCAGAGCCCAGGCATTGACTCTGCTGCATTTCCCTCCTCCAGTGCTCTTATAGGAATCCTCCCTGCCTGTTACCCCCAGCAAATGCCCTGCACTATCCTATGCTGACCCATAGCCCAAAGACTGCATCACAGCCTCCGGCTCCTAGGCACCATGGGAGTGGGAGGATTTCCAGGGAGGAGACAGAATGAGAGAAATGCCAAAGCCCTCAAGCTCTCTTGCTAGCCTAATGGAAAATGTACAGGACATATTCTCTTGCCTTATTCCTGTGGGGTGGGGGAAAGCAGAAATGAAGTGAGAACCTTAAACAGTCATTCCCCAAAAACCCTTGACAAGGGCTCAGAACTCTTTTTCCAGCTTCTCCAGAGTACACCCAACCATGGTAGCCTCCTCACCTGCTGTGACTGAACCCTTATGACCTGTCCACTTGCTCTCTGTTGACACTAAAGGTGAAGAGAGGTCAAGAGACAGCTTTCCACAGCCCCAGAGGTTCAGTCATTCACCTGAGAGACCAGTAGGAGGCAGGCTCACCACCCTCAGCAGGGTACCATGTTCCAGAAACAGGTCTTCATCAGAAGCATGTCTCCCAAGAATTTCCTTTTCCAGAGGTTTGACTTACTTAAATAACACACTTCCTGTTGCAAACTTATATATTCCATCGTTCTATTAACAAGGCCTACTTTGGGGACAGATTTCATGGGGGGAAATGTGTATACTTAGGAACCATTTTCAAACATTCCACAGCTACAAGGAGAATGGATAAGACTTGGTCCAAGGCCAACCCTGAACCTCCCATGGGACTCAGAGTCTTCTTTAAAACCCCTGGGATGGGAACTGGGGTCTCTCACTCAATGTAGAGGTTGTGACTTCTTCCCAGTTCTAAGGACATTGTGCAAATCATAGCAGGCAGAAAGGGGGAATTTCCTAAAGAATGCTTCTACCACTTTACACTTTCTCTATCAAAGAGAAGAGGGAAGAATCCCTTGCCCACAGCCAAAGGATCCATTGAATATTCCAGGATTCGCAGGAAATGTCTTTGGAACACATGTATAAATAGCTGGTAAAACCCAGGGGGGAATTTTGTCAGACATTCTGCTCCCAGAGACTTAAGTACTCTTTGAGAAGAAAGTCATTTCATGGAAATGTCAGCCCTTGGATTTCTCAGCTCTCACATTAAAATGAGTCTATCTTGCTGAAACCATTTTGGCTCAGAGGATAGAACGTCTGCCTACGGACTGAAAGGTCCCAGGTTCAATTCCAGTCAAGGGCATGTACCTTGGTTGAGGTAACATCTCCTGAAGGGGGTGTGCAGGAGGCAGCTGATGGATGTTTTTCTCTTATCAATGTTTCTAGCTCTTTATCCCTCTCCCTTCCTCACTTAAAAAAAAATAATAAAATATACTTAAAAAATAAAATAAAATAAAATGAATCTATCTTGCCAAAACCGTTTTTTGGCTCAGTGAATAGAGTGTTGACTTGCAGACTGATAGGTCCCAGGTTCGATTCCAGTCAAGGGCATGTACCTTGGTTGAGTACACATCTCCAGAAGGGGGTATACAGGAGGCAGCTGATGGATGTTTCTCTCTCATCAATGTTTCTAACTAGCTATCTCTCTCTCTTCCTCTCTGTAAAAAATCAATATAAAAATATTTTAAATGGCTCTATCTCAATTTAAACCTATTAATGAACTCCCTCAGTAAATTGTTGAGTTTTAATTGAGTCCTTTGTAACTTCTGAGGAGCTGTTAGCAATGGAACAGAGGGTGTGGGTCAGGTGTATGTTATGTACCCCCAATTCTTGACTAGATGTGTTAGAGGCACTTTTCACATGAAAGACATTCAGTTAATATTAGCTGAAAGAAGACCACACCAGTCAGTGAGGGAGCTAAAGTTGTTGTGTCTCCTGACATGCCTATAAACATGATTTTGGATTGTAATGAGAGGAGGATGTTAGTAGAGGAGGGAGAACAGCACTTCCAACTTACCCAGAAAGTGAGTTGGACCACTCATGAAGCATGGGAGAGAAATATATATATATATATTTTCACACGGGTATACCTATGTAGAATGGTTCTAAGAGCAATTACCTATATTTTAGAAACAAGACCTTTACCAACTCAGAATCCAGTTAAGCTTTAAGAGTAGGTAGCAATTTTAAAAACAGAACAATTTGCTCATTTTCTTTAGCAAACCAAAATATTTTTTAGAAAAATAAAAAAGGTGTAAAAGGGGAAGTGCTTTAAATTGAGGCCTAAGTGGCAGATGAACATTTTATGCAATAAAATTGTATAATTTTTTAAAAAAATATTTGTTTATTCAGAGAGCATTAGAGAGAGAGAAAAAGAAACTTCAATGATGAGAGAGAATCATTGATAGGCTGCCTCCTGTATGCTGCCACTGGGCATCCAGGCCACAACATGGGTATGTGCCTTTAATCAGAATCAAACCTGGGATCTTCCAGTCCACAGGCCAATGATCTATCCATTAAGCCAAACAAGCTGAGGCTGTATAATTATTTTAAAGCTTTAAAAAGTCCAATAAGTATTTGATAATAACATCAAATGGTTCTTACCTTTAAAGGTATACTATGATTCTTTTATTTTTTTTAGACATTACTTTTGAAGTGTATGAAGAAATGTGATGTCTGGGGTTTGCTTTAAAGTTCTTCAGAGGGAACAAAGTAGATGAAAAGAAGGGAACAAAGGAGAGAGAAAATGAATATGGCAGAATTATAATAATTTCTGAGTCTGGTAATGGAAGGGAGATTCCTTCCACTATTCTCCTTTTGCACATGTGGGAAATTGCATATACAGGTGGAGAGGATGGTGTTAGGGCCATGGCATAGAAGGTCAGGTAGGTTGGTTGGTTGTAGTGGCAGTTTGAGAGGGAGCTGTGAGAATCCGAGCAACTTTCATTTTCACACAACAGGTATATAACTTTGAGTATCTATAGTAATAATAGAAAAATATGTAAATTGACCATACTTCTGTGTTGCCCACAGCCCATCAGAAGTGAGCATGCATATTAACCAGAGAAAGATGGCATGCCTGTGGGCAGCAGGCACGCACTCAGGCATCCAGAAGCTGAGAGCAGGGCAGGATGCCTGCAGCATCGCGGTAGTGACTCTGGGGCAACCCAGCCCCTAGGACTCTCACGGCCTATGCAAGAAGATGCTGAGCAGCCAGAGGCAGGGTAAGCTGCAGGGTCCCTGGGACGCCACCGAATTGGCTGGTCCTGTCAGCGGCTGCAGTTTATAGTCCACTTGGTTTGTGTAGACTATGGACTGGATGTGGAAACCAAGAATTCAGAGAGCACCAGGAATTCTGGGAATTGTAGTTCTGATGGCAGGTACATTATGGGATCTCCAAAATAGGAGAGCAATGTGAGCTTAGAGCAAGTTATTGTTGTAAGTAGGAGATCCAGAGAAAGCACAGGTGAAAACATAAATAAAGTCACAGTGTTAAGGAAATATTAAAGGAAAGATACTCTTCCACTTCTAGGAAATCTCCATCAATGGAGCAAAGAAAAAAAAAGTCCTCTGTTATTCTGTGATCACCAAACCAAACTGGGTTGGGGTCTCAGACAATCCACTCATATGATTGCAAAGACAGACAGAAATTCCCTCATTAGAGAGGGTTTCCCTGAAGGTTCTCAGATTGGAAAGGGTACAGGTTGAACTGAGGGACCCACCTCTTATGCACAAAAGTTTGTGCGCCGTGCCCCTAGTTTACCCAATAATAATTAAGATGGCTGCACAGTGGTTTGTTTTGATATTCTTTTAATTTAAGTTCTTCAACCAATCAATGAGCCCAATTTGAACATAAATAAATGCCCACTTTCTGTTCAAAATGGCATTTGCTATGGTCATGAGTCTTTGGAACTATTTCCTAGAGCATCCTGATATTACTTTACCCCGATAAACTGTCAATTGTGGATTTGCAAAGCTATGCAATTGGGAATTTCTCATTTGTGAGACCTGGGGGTGCACTTGGCTGTTGGTGGGGAGGGGAAGGTGGGAAAAGCTGATAAGACAGGGTAACCAGCCCACTCAGCAGCATCAGGATGGCAGCCAGAACTGCCACGGGGACTGTGCTGCCAATCTCCTGCTGGTCGGGCCTGAAGGGAATGTGAAAAGATGGTGGGAAGTGTATGCAATCTTCATTCATTACAGTGTGGTAGTTCCAGATCACAGCAATGAAGATATATACCCAGCTATGATGCTCAGGACTCCAGAAGAAAAGAAGACATTGCAGGTGTTTTCCTTCTGATGATGAGCCACACACACTCTCTGCAGACCCATGATGGTGAGCACTTTCCCCAAGAGAGCCAGGAGGTTGGCAGCCAGCAGCAGGTGCTGAGTGATGCGGATATTGAGGGGCAGGTAGCTGTCACTGTAGGTGTAGCGGTGACACGCTATGGCTCTGCTCTGGAGGTTGTTGGACTGGTAAGTGCAGACCTTCCACATCCCTACACAAGCCAGCCCTGGGGAGGGGGCAGAGGTGCTCTCCATGTACCAAATGCGCTACTCGGCCAGGCCCATGCAAGTCATGGAGAAGATCCATCCTATGGTGGTGACAATGAAGCCCGATACTTGGCAGTTGGCACTGTGGATCAGTGAGGCCTTGGCCATGTATCCCAGGGAGCTGTAAACCAATATAGAGCATCATTAGCATGGGACAAACCATCTTGGAACTGGTCCCCGGGGATCAGCGGGACTATATTGGCGAGGGAAATTCCAAATTCCAGAATGGAGACACTTGACCACCATGCTCTGCTGGGGAAGGAAATTTTTTACTGAAAGCCTTCAAATATGCAGACTTTCACCCTGCAGGGTACCTAAGTGGTTAGAGTGTCTTCCCAACAGGCCAAAATGGCAAGTTCGATCCCTGGTCAGTGCACATACAATAAGCAACCAATGAATGCATCAGTCACTGGAATACCAAGTCAATGTTCCTCCCTCCCTTCTTTCTTCCTCTCCTCTCTCTCTTCCCCTCTCCCTGTCTCAAAAATCAACCAAAATATGTTCAAACTTTCAAACAGGCAGTTTCATTTATGAGCATTTGTGGAAAGACCCAACTAAGATTAGGGACAGATATTTTATGATAGAGATGAGCATCAAAGTAATGCTGTGTGACATTGAACAATGGTAAACCATGTCAAACCCAACAGTAGGGTTTGGTGAAGTAATATATGCTACAACCATACAATGGAGCTCCATACCAAACATACAAGTGCAGCCAAGTCACACCTGGTGTGATGTTTGGTGTCTGGCCCTTCTCACCTCGCATAATGAAAGCTATTAATGTTGTGCAGAATCACATTGTCTGTACAAGTTTGTAACATGCTGCATAAATGAAGAGGGAGAATTATGGATCTGATGCCTTCTAAAGTCTGCTTGGTACTACAGGACATGAATTTATTACATGGAATTTTGCAACATGTTTGTGTAGTAGAGTTAATCCTCCATTATTCCTAAGGGATTTTTGTGTGTGTGTGTGTGTTTATTTATTGTTTTTATTTTTAAAAAAATATGCTCATTTCAAATAATAAATTTTCAAACAGCCACATATTATTTTGAAAAAATCAGTTTGGTCAGTTTGCCTTTCATGGCTGAGCATCAACCTATGAATCAGGGGGTCATGGTTCAATTCCGAGTCAGGGCACATGCCTGGGTTGGGGGCTTGATTCTCATAGGGGATGTTCAGAAGGCATCGGATCCATAATTCTCTTTCTTTGTTGATTCATCTCTCTCTCTCTCTCTTTCTCTTTCTCTCTCTCTCTTTCCCTCTGCCTTTCTCTTTGAAGTTATAGCCTGAGGTCAGGGAGCATAGGAAGCCATTTACATAGGAATGCCCTGGCCACAAAACCTGTCTTCAAAACCAGGCACAAGGGAATCACCATGTTTGGGGATTCCTGCTGAGGTAGGAAACTAAAGACAAGCAAGAAACCAGGGATATTATTTCTTTTAAGCTGAGCGGTGGCAACAGGTATATTATTTCTTTTAAGCTGAGCGGTGGCAACAGATTAACAAGTCATTGAGCTATACATTTAGATTTGGTGCATTTTTTTTATATGAATGTGATTCTGCACAACATTAATAGCTTTCAAGCTCACCGGCCCTCTGATTCCATTGTCTGTACAAGTTTGTAACATGCTGCTTACCATGGTAATGGTCATGGTGTTTTCTATTTAAAATGAAAATAAGATCCCTGGTTGGTGTGGCTTTGCTGGGTGGACATTGTCCTTTGCACCAAAAAGTTGCTAGTTTGATTTTTCAGCCACAGTACATATTTGAGGTGCCAGTATGGTCCCTTTTAGGGGGCATGCTGGAAGCAGTTGACAGATGTTTCTATTCACTCTTTCCCTTATTCTCTCTCTAAAAATAATTTAATATTCATAATACAAAATTAAAAATAAAGAAAATGAGAACAAAAAAAGGATAAGTATGTAGCAGGATCTTATTTTTGCCCATTCTGAAATACACTGGAAAGATAAAATGTGATAGCATCTGCTGAGATTACCAGGCATATTTCAAGTTAAAATCATATGGTAGCCTTTACAAGCAATACAAGAATAGAAATGAACAAAGGGTGAACAGGAGTGGACATGGAAGCCAGTACTTGGAGAACTTTGGGGTTCGGGCTTTATTCTGAGGGGCCCTCGGTGGAAGGGACAGGAGGAGAGATCTTCTAGGCTGATACCAGAAATTCCTTCTCATGGCCCGACATTCATGGAAGATGCCTTGTTTATAAAGTTCCTTCTTGCCGAAACCAGTTTGGCTCAGTGGTAGAGCGTTGGTCTGTGGACTGAAAGGTCCCAGGTTTGATTCTGGTCAGGGGCATGTACCTTGGTTTTGGGCACATCCCCAGTAGGGGGTGTGCAAGAGGCAGCTGGTTGATGTTTCTCTGTCATTGACATTTCTAGCTCTCTATATCTCTCTCTTCCTCTCTGTAAAAAAAAAAAAAAAAAAAAAAAATCAATAAAATATATATATATTTTAAAAACTTAAAAAAAAGTTCCTTCTTTCAGGTCACACAAACCTCAACAAATTATGTGGAAGGAACACTTTAAATGGCATGTTTTGCCTGATTGGTGTATCTTAGTTGTTGATAAGGTTTAATTCCTGGTCAGTTGGATACTCTTCTCAGTAGGAATGGTGCAGTAGGCAGCTGATCAGTGTTTCTCATCATTGATGTTTATATCTCTTCCTATCCCTTCCTCTCTCTCTCTACAATAAATAAAAATGTGTTTTTAAACAAGACAAGTCTTACATAAAGGATAGGCAAATAAAAGTGTCCTACATTAACCTGTCAGCAGGACTGCTGATGACAGTTAACCTGTTCACTGAGCAAATGAATGAGTTACAGAGAGTGACATTCCCCCACCCCAAGAAATCTCAGGGCTCTCTTAACTAGGGTAAAAAAAATAAAGTACAATGGTTACCCAACTAGTACAGAAAGCAGGAGGAGGACCTCTCAGAGGTACAAATGGAAGTGACTGCCAGGATCAAACAGAGATGAGGAAACCAAACATTCTTATGTTTCTATGGCTCCCAGGCCTAGCCTGCAGGTTGTGACAATAGTCTCCTTAAAAGGCCAGAGTCCAGAAACAGGTCTTCAAGAGTTGAAGTCTTTCTACTGTAGAAATGTCCTTTTTTATTTTAAACATTTTTTTATTGATTAAAGTAATACATTTAGGTTCTTATCCCTCAATTACTCCCCAACTCCCCTTCTCATGTCCTCACCCTTCTGGTATCTTGTGTCATTGATTATGCTTATATGCATAAGTACAAGTCCTTTGGTTGATCTCTCCTTTTTACCTTGACCCTTCCCTATTTCCCTCTGAATTTTAAGGGTCAGATTGATTCTTCTCTCTCTCTGGATCTGGTCGTGTGTGGGTTTTTTTTGTTTGTTTGTTTGTTTGTTTTGTTTTTTGTTTTTCATATATGCCCTTTATTAAGCTTGGGATGTTCTTTTCTATTTCCCATTTTTTCTTTTTTTTTAATTTATTGATTGATTATGGTATCACATAATTGTCCTCATCCCCCCATTCCCATCCCAAACCTCTCCCCACATATGCCACCCCCTTTTGTCCATGATCCAATGATCAAAGTTAGGCTTATATGCATACACACAAGTCCTTTGGTTGATTTCTTCCTTTTGTTTCCCACACACACACACCTCCTCTATTTCCCTCTGAAGTTTGACACTCTGATCATTGCTTCTCTGTCTCCAGTTCTGTTTCTGTTCATCAAGTTATGTTGTTCATTATTTCCCCTAGATGCATTAGTTCATGTGATACAAGAAATACCCTTATAAGTATTGAAACTGAGACAAGCCATAATGGTTATGCTGAGAAGCAAATGAATCAGTCTGTAGTGAGTTCCTTTCTGGGCCAACAGTTCTTTTGCGTCCCAATTTCAATGTCAAACAGTTCCTTATTTGTACATGTCAGCCATGGTATTTCAGATCTGGTTGGTGGACAAATGGTATTGATGCAGGTCCAACCATCTCTGGTTTGGTCCTGGGCATCCTCCAGTGGCGTATAGCTGCTGCCTGCTAGTATGGCAAGGCATTGTCAGCGTCTTTCATTTCTGGACTGCTTCTCTTCTGTCTTCATGGCTGGGGCATTACTATCAATTCCTCTCTGTGGCCAGAATTCACATGGTTTCGGAGTTGTTTTCTGAAAATGTACAAATGTATTCTCGACCAAAAGTTATAAATATGACTTGGGGTGTCTTTTCTTTTCTTTTTCTCCCCTCCCCCCACAAATGATTTTCCTCTGGCTTGTTTTGACACCATGTATGTTTTTCATGGGCATCTTAGCATTTCAAATGAAAGTTAATTTTCTAAAGTACAAATTTTATAGTTGTAATTTAATCTCAGGATATTTTTCCTTCCATGGTATTTTTCTACTATCACCTGTTTGTTTGTTTTTAATTTAAATATTAGGAGGCTTTTGGAAATTTTATAATGTAGTTATAAAATTGATAGCTTTTACATTTTAATTATTTGCTCTAAAATATGAATGCTTTAGGTTCATTACATGTTATGCAATTATACCATGAGATGCTCTTCCAATAAGAATTTTGTTAACAATTTAGGAACAGCTTTTTGTACAGTACAATCAATTTTTCTAGAATATTTGCTTATTTCAATTAGCCAACTTAATTATCTCTGAGAAATTGATTACTATTCCACTGTCAAACTAAACACTATCAACAATCTTATTTTACCTGTGTGTATTAGAAGAAAAGATTATTTGCCTTCTTGAGTAGGCCCTGGACATTCCTATTACTAGACTAGATTTGAATATCAAAAACCCACTTCCCCACCCCATGGGTAAAAGCCATCACAAATAAAACTTGTTGCAGTGAGAGGGCAGCTGCTATCACCCAATTGTCTGTCTGACTCAAATCTGAGTCCCGATTTGAGCTGTGCCTGGGAAGCAAATCAGCCATAGGAG